CCCGGCCCAGCACTCTCTCCCCTTCACCCACCCACAACCTGTTGCTCTCACTCCCCACCCAGTGGTCTCCTCCCAGCACTCCTCACTCTCCTCCCCTCACACCCCTTGCCACTCTGCCCAGAATCCCCCCACAGCCTTTGCCTTTACTCACCCAGGCTCACTGCCTGCACCTGCCCACTGTGCGGGCTCCAGCGACACACAGTCTGCGCGTGGATGTCCACATAAACAAGCTGCCCTGTCGCCTCCTCCCACACAGGACATTCACCCATCCGGTGCCTCTCGGTGACCACTGCCTGTACATCAGCCCTGGGGGACGCCATGGCACCTGGGGAGGCTGCGGGATAAACTGTACCTGCCAGGACAGGTCTCCTTTCTCCACCTGAGTCATCACCGGACCCAGGAAGAGCCTAGGGCTGGCACACCCGACCTGTCAGGGCCTTTGCTGGGATAAGAGGTGCCCAGGAGCTCCTCATTCCCCCAGGAAGTTCCCTCATGCCCCCAAGAGGCCCCTATGTCCCCAGGGAGGTCCAGAAGCCCCTCACGTCCCCAGGAGCCTCCCATGTCCATAAAAGACACCCATGCTCCCAGGAAGTCCTAGAAACACCCCAACTCCCTAGGATGGCTCAGGAGCCCCCTCACTCCCTACCTGAAGCCCTGGTAGTTACCCAGCTATCTGCACCTCTTGTGGACTCTCAGCTCCCAGGGCTCAGACCTCACCTGGAGCCTCTGGACCTGGAGGCTGCTTTGGGTGGTGTCTGCCACTCCTGCCTCCCAACCCTCCCCCTTGTCCTCTGCCAAGGTCTGTGCTGGAGGGCGGTGCTGTTCCTCTGCCTATTGCAACCCCAGGAACTTCTTGGCAGCCTCAGCCAGGACAGCACAGGCCCCCCCTCCTGGCCAGGAGACCCCTGTGAGCAGCAGGAGATGCATGTATACAACAGAAGACCACTGTATGCAGCAGGAGTGCTCCATATACAGCAGGACTCCCATGTATACCTCAGGAGATGAATATGGGCTCAACCTGCACCCCAGCATTTCCTCAGCAGTTGCTGCAGGTGTGTCCTGTGTTTTTTGTGCCCCTGTGATCTCTGTGCACTAGAGCTTTTTGTTGCAGACCCTGCTATGGGCGGCCTCCTGTGGGTGGGTGCACAGTGCTTCATACATATGTGACACACGATTGGCATGCATGAATGACATACACATCACAAATGTGCATGACACATATTGGTGCGGGAGAATTGTCTGTATTCTGTCAATCATATTTTAATAAAACGCTGATTGGCCAGGCAGGCAGTATAGGCGGGAAAGCCAGACAGGAAGAGGGGTGGAGCAAAGAGACTGGGAGAATTCTGGGAAGCAGGAAACTTCCTCTGCATTCCTGCCCAGATTACTGAAGAAGTAACATGTAAGCTGCCCCCGCTGGAAAAGGTACTGAGCCATTATGGCTAACATAGATAATGATAATGGGTTAATATAAATTACAAGGACAAATAAGAAGACTGAGCTAATGGGCCAATCAGTTTATAATCTTATGGAGTCCTATGTGTGATTTTCTTTGTTGCTTGCTGGCTGTTGGGGTGCCGGGCGGGACAGAAACCCCAACAAGCCAGCCATCATGTTACAACATATCACACATATGTGCATGACACTGGCCAGGTCTTGTGTGGGTGGTTGCACAGGGCTCCATACATGCCTGACACACACCTCACATACATGCATAACACATATCACATTCACTAGTATGACACACAAATCACACATGGTCATGACACACATCACATCACGCACACATGACATGTCACACAGTGCATAACATATACAGCATATGACATACATCACACAAGCACATGACACATCACACATATGCATGACACCACCACACAAGTGAAAGACACATCACACATGCACATAAAACACTTATGCATGACACATGACAGACATATCACATGCATGCATGACACATATGATGCACACCACACATAGGACACATGCACAGGCCAGAACATTCATAACTGCCAATGATCAAGGTGGTTAAGCAGAGTCCAGGTTATGTGTGACTGTGTGACCTCAGCAGATGACCCTGCCCCTCAGTAGGTGATCCTGCCACTCAGTAGGTAAATCTTCCACTCAGTATGTAATCCTGCCCCTCAGCAAAAGATCTGTCTCTCAATAGGTGACCCTACCCCTTGGTAGGTGACCCCACCTTCAGTAGGTGAGCCTGGTCCTCAGTGGGTGATGCTGTCCCTGAGCAGGTGATCTGCATCTTTGGCAGTTATCCTTTGTCCTCAGTAGTTGACTCTGTCATTCTGTGGATATCTCGGCCTTCAACAGGTGACTCTGTCAATCTGTGGCTGTCCTGGGTCCTCTGCAGCTGTCCTGTGTCTTAGCAGGTGGCCATGATCTTCTGCAGGTGTCCTGTGCTGTCAAAAGTTGACCATGGTGCTCAGGAGGTGATCTTGCCCCTCTGCAGGTGTTCTGTGTCCTCATAGGTGTCCTGTGCCCTCAGGAAGTGACCCTGCCCTTCTGCAGCTGTCTTATGTCTTTATTAGATGGTCCTGATATTCTACAGATATACTGTGGCTGAGCAGGTGCCCTTGCCCTTCAGCAGGTACTGTGTGCTGTCACCAGGTAGCTGTGAATTTCAGGAGAAGGCCCTGTTCCTTAAGATGTGTCCTGTGAAAGTGTCCTGCCACTTTGAAGATGTCTTTTTGCTGTACATGTTCTGTGCCCTCAGCAGGTACTACTGCCCTTCAACAGGTACCCTTACTCTTTTGCAGATGTCTTGTGACTTTTGTAGGTATCCCGTGCCCTTAACAGGTGACCCTGCCCTTTTCAGGTGACTCTGATACTTAACAGGCATCCTTTGCCCTGGGCAGTTGGTCCTGTGCCATCAACATTTGTTCCTGCCTGTCTACACGTGTTATAGGACCTCTGTAGGTGTCCTATGTCCTCAACAAGTGGCCGTGTCCTTTTATAGGTGTCTTATGTCCTCAGCAGGTGGCCTTGACCTTCAGCAGGTGGCTCTGTCTTTCTGCAGGTGTCCTGGGCCTTCAACAGGTTGCCCTACTCTTCTGAAGATAACCTGTGTCTTCTGCATGTGACTCTCATCTTAAGCAGGTGGCCCTTGTCCTTAATAGCTGTTCTGTGGCCTCAACAGTTGACCGTGCCCATTTGCAGGTGTTTTGGGTCTTCAGAATGTCTTCTGTTACTTCAGCAGGTGTCCAGACCCCACAGTAGGTGGCCCTGGTCTTTAACAACTGCTCTGTGCCTTCACCAGTTCATTATGACATTTTGCAGCTGTCCTGGGTCCTGTGCAGGTATCCCATTCTCTCAACAGGCAGCCCTTCCCTCTGAAGATGTTCTGTGCCCTCACTAGGAAACCTTACCCCTCTGAATGTGTTCTCTGTCCTCTGCAGTTTAGGACCTAACATAATCCGAACCCTAACCCTACCCTAACTCCTACCTCTACCCCTAAATCTGATGAGTGTTTGTCCCTGAGGGCACTGTAGAATACAAGGGGTAAAAACTGTAAGGACAAGGCCAGTTCAGGCACCCTTTCCTCTGCTGTCCAAGAAACAAGCTGGGGACCTCTCCTTGGACCTGGGAACCCCTCTAGAGTCAATCTCTTGCCAACCCTAAAATGGCTCCCTTGATTAAGATATTTACTTCCCTGCTACTGCATGGACTGGCTTTGTGGGAGCCTGGTTTGTTTGGATGCTCACCTTCATAGTCCTGGAGGGGGGAGGACCTTGGACTTCCCACGGGACAGGGAACCCTGACTGCTCTTAGAACTGGAGAGGGAGGGGGAGGGGGAACGGGGAAGGAAAAGGGAGGTGGAAATTTTTAATGAATAAATAAATTAAAAAACTGTAAGGATATTCAATAGAATTTCAAATAAAAACCAATCTAGATTAACAACAAACAAGTTCTCCTTTTTATATGAAATTGCTTTAAAAATTACTTTGTAAAATGATTTTCCTTGAATCTATCCTTTTCAGCAACTGGAAAAAGTACCTACTATATAATAAAAGAACTTCTGGAGGCAACAAGACAAGGTTATCCACTCTCTACATTATATGTTCAATATAGTACTTGAGATTCTAGGTAGAGCAGTAAGACAACAAAAGGAGTTAAAGAAAAATACTCAGCTTCATATAAAAAAACAAAATACCCAGGATAGTGGAAATAATCTTGTACAGTAAAGGAATTTCTGGAAGCATCACAATCCCTGACTTCAAACTCTACTATAGAGCTACAGTACTGAAAACAGCATGCTATTGGCATAAAATCAGACAGGAGGAACAATGGAACCAAATCAAAGACCCAGATACCAATCCGCACACCTATGAACACCTGATTTTTGACAAAGAAGAAAAAATATAAAATGGAAAAAAAGAAAGCATATTCAACAACTTGTACTGGCATAACTGGGTATCAACATGAAGAATGAAAATAAATTCATATATATTGCCTTACACAAAACTCAAGCCCGAAGAGATCAAAAACCTCAACATAAAGCCAACCACACTAAACCTCATAGAAGAGAAAGTAGGAAGTACGCTTGAATGCACTAGCACAGGAGAACATTTCCTAAATATAACCTAGTAACACAGACATTGAGAGAAAACCAATTAACAAATAGGACCTCCTGAAAACCGAGAAGTTTCTGTAAGGCAAAAAACATGGTCAACAACACAAAACAACAGCCTACAGAATGGATAAAGATCTCTACCAGCCCAACATCATACAGAGTGTGAGCCCCAAAATATACAAAGAATTTAAGAAATTGGTCATCAAAGAACAAATAATCCAATAAACATGGGCAACAGACTTAAACAGAGAATTCTCAACAGAGGAATCTAAAATGGCTGAAAGACACGTAGCGAAATGTTCAACATTCTGAGCCATCAAAGAAATGCAAATCAAAACAACTCTGAGATTGCATCTTACACCTGTCAGAATCACCAAGATCAAAAACACTGGTGACAACTTATGCTGGAGAGAATGGAGTTAAAGAAATACTCCCCCATTGCTGGTGGAAGAACTGCAAACTTTTACATAACACAATTTTAAAATTCTTTGAGAATTCCATCCATGCATACAGTGTATTTTGATTATATTTCCATTCATTCCTTGCTAATGGTTTCTAATCACTCTCTTAATTCCAATATTTGTAAATTCTTGCCTTTTTTTTGCTTTAAATAATTTACCTAGGGCAACATTGCATGCCCATGTGCTCATGTGTTACAGCCAGCCCTACTACCTGGGATCAGCATCCTAAATTTACCTAACTCTTACTCTTCTGGAAGCTGTCAAATATCACTAGCTTCTAAATTAGGGATGGGGCCAGTAAGCCCCTTTCTTTACCGATTTGACCAATGAGTTCATGAGTACAGTAGTCCTGTCATGTCCAGAAGGTACTGTTTTATTTTCAGCTTTGTAATATGCTACAAGATTTTCAGAGATATCAAACTTGATATAAAATATGATGAAATTTTGGCAGGAATTCTGAAGAAAATGTGTAATGTTCTTAATTTGACTGATTGTATTCTCACATAAGTTATCATTAAATTAATCAAGGCAGTACCATATCTTGAATCTAATTATGGCTTCATATATTTGAAAATGTTTGATATAATTTCTTCCTACTCCATAATTTCTAAAATAGAGAACCAGAAACTGAATGTGACAAAATACCACTTAGCTGAGCCTACATCTATGCTTTTGATATTTCAGATATCCATGATTGCACTTGATGCTTGAAAACTGGTCAGGCTGATATTTGAGGCATGATTTTGAGTTTACCTCAGTTTCTCTATTACAGATTAACAGAGAGAATTACATTAGATTTGCTGATGTAAACAATGTGTTCTCTCCAATTCTGAACACTGCCATCTACAATCTACAGCCTGATGAATAAGAGTATAAGAAGGGCTCTGAGCAGCTTCCTCCTCAAAACAGTACCAACCTTGTTTACTGACTGAATTTAGAATTAAGTGAATAGTGTAGCCATAGAGGTAATTGTGCCTATCAATATTCACACTCTACAAAACTTCTGCCTGGATTGTTTCACTGATTCTGTTCCTCATAATTTTACATGTACATGTATATATATAGATACTTATATCTGTTTAACATGTTTCCAAACAAAATATGTTTCAGTAATTCTTTTTTATTTCTTTTTCAGAAATATGGTCCATGATGTTCTTTTTTTCTTACAAGATTTCAGAGACTTGAACTTAATATAAAATATTATATCAAGTGTTGTCATAATTTGTCAAAGAAGGATCTCATTGTGTTATTTTTTTATACTCCCAGGATGATATGCAATAACAATGATCAAAGCATTAACAAAAAAACCCCACTTTTCTCACATATAGGGTTTATCCTATGCTTAGTTTTCCTCATTTGGACTTTTCTTGATTAGCATTCTTAAGTGAACCACCAAATCCTGGCCTTTCAGATGCAGGCTTGACTACATTTCATTTCATCAACTTGCTGCATCTTCTCTTTCCTTATAGACTAATCATTGCATGGATTGTCCTTGTTTTGGTGAGCCCAATGTTAGAAACCCCATTTATTAAATTTGTTGTCTTTATAAAACTGTCATTTCCCAAAGACAAACAAGATCAGTCCAACACATTCTAGGGAAATCTATGAGGTGGAATCAGACATTGATAGGAACCACAATATATCTTAAATCCTCCCTTTCCCACTGACTTTTCTCTCAGATATGTTTTATTATGTGATCTTGTCAGTCTCCAGTTTCTAGGAGGATCTATATATGTTTTTCTTTGGGTACACCTTATTACTTAGATTCTCTAGGATCACAAACTATAGGCTCAGTGTCCTTTGTACATGACCAGAATCCACTAATGAGTGAGTGGGTCATCTTTTTGGGTCTGGGTTATCTCACTAAGGATAGTGTTTGCTGTGGGAGTACCTTCTGCTCCTTTAGCCAATAGCTGCTGAAATACCAGCCCACTGGGGAGTGGTATATTTCTCTTTTAAAAAGAGCTGCAAGTCTTGGCTCGGCCTCTCTTGGTTCTGGCTCTTGGTTCCGGCTCCTGCTCCAGCGACTAGGCTCCTTTCCTGATGGTTTGTGTGTATGTAAGTTTTACCCCCCCTCCCAAAATAAAGACCCCTTTAAAACCTAACTGGTGTGGGATTGATTTGCCATTAAGTGTTTTCTATTTCCATCTATTTGCATGCAAAAACAAGATGTCATTGTCCCCCCCCCGCTGATTAGTACTCTAATGTGTAGATGTGCCACACTTTCTTTATTCGTTCTTCCATTGAAGGTTATCTAGGTTGTTTCCAGGTTCTGGCTATTGCAAATAATACTGCTATGAATATAGTTGAACAAATGCTTTTGTAGTATGACTGGACATGTCTTGGGTATATTCCCAAGAGTGGTATTGCTGGATCCTGAGGTAGGTTGACTCCCAATTTTCTGAGAAACCACCACATTGATTTCCAAAGTGGTTGCACAAGTTTCCATTCCTACCAGCAATGGATGAGTGTTCTCCTTACTCCACATCCTCCCTAGCATAAGCTATAATTGGTTTTTTTTGATTTTAGCCATTCTGACAGGTACAGGATGATATCTCAAAGTTGTTTTGATTTGCATTTCTCTGGTTGCTAAGGAAGTTGAACATGTCCTAAAGTATCTTTTGGCCATTTGAAATTCTTTTGTTGAGAATTCTCTGTTTAGATCAATATACCATTTTGAATTGATTTATTTAGAATTTTAATGTCTAAGTTCTTGAGTTCTTTATATATTTTGGAGATCAGACCTTTGTCTGATATGGGGTTGGTGAAGATCTTCTCCCATTCAGTAGGTTGTCTTTTTGTCTGAATGATTGTGTCTTTTGCTTTACAGAAGGTTCTCAGTTTCAGGAGGTCCCATTTGTTGTTGCTCTTTTTGTCTATGCTATTGGGGTTATACGTAGGAAGTGGTCTCCTGTGCTCATGTATTACAGGCTATCTCCCACTTTCTCTTCTATCAGGTTCAGTGTGGTCAGATTTATATTGAGGTCTTTTATCCATTTGGACCTGAGTTTTGTGTATGGTGATAGATATGGATCTTTCTTCATTCTTCTAGATGTTGATATTCAGTTATGCCAGCACCATTTGTTAAAGATGCTTTCTTTCTTCCATTGTATAATTTTAGCTTCTTTGTCAAAAATCAGGTGTTCATAGGTTTGTGAATTAATATCCGGGTCTTCAATTCCATTCCATTGGTCAACATCTCTATTTTTATGCCAATACCAAGCTGTTTTCATTACTGTAGCTCTGTAATAGAGTTTGATGTCAGGGATGGTAATGCCTCCAGAAGTTCCTTTATTGTATAGGATTGTTTTGACTATCCTGGGTTTTTTGTTTTGCCATATAAACTTGATTATTGTTCTCTCAAGATCTGTGAAGAATTTTGATGGGATTTGGATGGGGATTGCATTGAATCTATAGATTGCCTTTGGTAGAATTGCCATTTTTACTATGTTGATCCTACCAATCCAAGAGCATGGGAGATCTTTCCATTTTCTGGTATCCTCCTCAATTTCTTTCTTCAAAGACTTAAAGTTCTTGTCAAATAGATCTTT